TCAGGCCCTTGGGCTTGCCAGGGAAGTTTTTATTCTACTGAGCTATCTCCCCGGCCCCTTGTTTTTGTTTTTTGTTTTTTTTGGCAGAACCAGGGATTGAACTCAGACCCTTGTGCTTGCTAGGGAAGTGCTTATTCCACTGAGCCATCTCCCCGGCCCCTTGTTTTTGTTTTTTTAAGACAGGGTCTCCCTATACGGTTCTAGCTGGTTCTAAACTATGTAGCCTGCTGGGGAGATGGATCAGCAGCTTAAGTGCCTGCCTGGCAAGTGCAAAGTCCTGTGTTTGAGCCCTGGTACCCCCGCAAAATTATGGCTGGCCTCGAACTCATATGTAGTTGAAGCTGCTCTTGAACTCATGGCAAACCTGCCTCAGCCTCCTGAGTGTGGGGATTTTTTTTACTGGGAAATGAGAAATTATTTCCTTTTAGAAGTGATAGTAGGATGATTACATGTGTCCTTTTTTTTTTTAGAAACTAATTCTGAAAAATTCAGATGAAATGGAAAAATATCTCAGCTTTAAAACCTAGCTTTGGATCTAAGTCTAAACTTTAAGAGAATTAGATGACAAAAAATGTCTAGAACTAATGCCTTCAGTGACATGTAAAATATGAATGTATAAAAGAAAATTCCTAGGGCTTTGACTCTGGCTCAATAGTAGAGTATATTTAAGATACATGCCTAGGTTTGATCTACAGCAAAAAACACAATATATTTTTTCTTTTTTTTAGAAAGAAGAAAAGAGAGCTGGGGAGATGGCTCAGCAGTCTAAGTGTTCAATTTGACATAGCTTCTCTAGGGTCTATCTATTCCAGTTTATCTCAAACCAGCACTACCTTGCTCTCCATGCTCTCTATTCCTGTTCCTCATACTCATCACAATTCCTCCCAAAAGGCTCTTCTCTTCCCTCTTGGCTTTTTATCCTTATTCTTCAGGTTTCAGTTCATGTATAACCAACTTCCTATAAGAAAGTTTTCCCTAAGGCCGGCCAAATTGCTCAGTGGATTAAAGCACCTGCAAGCAGGTGCAGGCGCTGGGGATTTGATCCCCAGGCCTGCCCCGCCCCCCAGGTGCACTGAGATGGCAACTGAGACTGGGCTTGGTAACGTGCACCTGTAATCCCAGTTCTTGGGAGGCTGTAAGCAGGTGGATCACTACAAGTCCAATCTAGTAGTAAGACCCTGAACACCTTTAGACCCTTCCCTAAAAAATAAATAAATAAATAAATAAATAAATAAATAAATAAATAAAGTTTTCCCTAACCTCCCTACCTGGGTCAAATCCTCTACCACTGACACCATGTATCTCTCTTCCCAGCACTTTCCAGCTGCTGTCTCACTACACTGGAATTTAAAGTAAGGCATGTTTTTTATTCACCAGTACCTCTGCAAAACTGAGCATGGTGTCTCTGCTTTTGTCTTGTTCTGGCTAGAGTACTTTCTCTTCACAAATTGCTCAAAACTAGCATACGACTGCAATACCAGCACTCCAGCGTCCGAGGCAGGGGGATCACTTTAAGTTCAAGACCAGTGTGGGCTACACAGTGAATTCAAGGGCAGCCTAAATTACATACAGAGCCCTGTCTCAAACATGTTCAAATCTAATTCATCCTTAAAATTCAGCTCAATACAAACTCAACTTCAAACGTTTTGCAATTTTCCACTCATATTTTACCTTTCACTGAACTTCTAGTATACTTTTTTGTACCTCTAACAGTAAGAAGTAATGTGCACCATGCATTATGTTATGTCTACACATTTTTTACTCTTTTACTAAACTGGACTTCACTACTAGTCTGCCTCCTTTTAAATTAATCCTTTCATCACTAATTTTTTTTTTTAAAATGTATTTGGTACAGGGTCTCACTACGCAGCTTGGACTTGTAGTGATCCTGTTTTCAGCCTCCCCAGTGCTGGGATTACAGGCATGCACCACCATACCCAGTCTCGGTGGCCAGCTCAGTGCGCCCAGATGCAGGGCTGGTGTGACAAGTGGTGCAGGGAGAGAACCCTGGCCCCTGTGCTTGCCTAAGCAGGCACTTAGTCCACTGAGCTATGTCACTAAAATATTTTTTTTAATCCTATAACATGAGAATGAACCATGATTAGAAAAGCCTACAATAAATACTGCAGCAGAATAAGCAGCATATAGTACACCGTATAAAAATAAACAAAGCATTAAAAAATTAAGAAATTGAAACTATCTCTGGGGCAATATAAACCAAAGGGTAATAGGTGTCTCGGAGGGGAAGGAGGGCCAGGGAGGTAGCTCAGTGATGTAAGGAGGGGAACTGAGCAGGTGAGGGGACAAGGGCAAAGAGAAATTTCTGCTTTACATTATTTTGTTTCTGTTGAAATTTACCAAACACTGGCACATATCTATTACATGTTACATGAATCCTTCTTTCTTTCTTCCTTTCAATTTTTTTTGGTTGTTACAGGGTCTCACTACACAGGTTGGGACTCTTGGTGATCCTTCTGCTTTTAGCCTCCCCAGCACTGGGATTACAGTTGTTCACCACCACGCCTGGAGTCTGGCGGCTCAGCGTGTCCGTGGTGGGGCTGGTGCAGCATATGGTACCAGAGATTGAACCTCGATCCTCACACTTGCCTACATTTGCCTAAGCAGGTGCTTTAGTCCACTGAGCTATCTTGCCAGCCCCTGCATGAATCTTGACTCATGTGAGCATATCTATTACAAAATAAATTACAAGGCAACTTAAAATAAGCAAAACCAATAAACTTTACAGTGATTTTTTAATTTAAAAAAATAAAAACTTTGCCAGATGTGGTGGCATAGGCCTGTAATCCCAGCACTCCCAGGAGGTTGAGGCAGGAGGATCAGTGCAAGTTCAAAACCAGGCTGGGTTACAAAAGGAGTTCAAGGCCAGCTTGACCTGCATAGGAAGACCCTGTCTCAAGAAGACAATATATAAATAAATATTTTAAAATTAAAAAAAGAAAAACTTACTAAACCCATGCATTTATTAGGCAAAGGAGGAAAAAACTGCAATCTTCTGCAGTTACCTATGTAAATTCCTACTGGTACTATGCACAAATATTGTCCAAGTAAATGTTATTTCACTTAATTAAAAAACAATTTTTTGATAGTTGATATACTTGCTAGCAATGATTCTTTATACTTTTTCTTTCCCTGTTTTTTATTTTTTGGTTTTGGTGCATTTGTGTGTGTGTGTTACTGCGGACTGAACACAGGGTTTTTGTAGATCCCAAGCAGGTGCTATACCACTAATTGATAACCCCAGAGTTTATTTTATTGACACAGGGTCTCACTATTGAGACAGGCTAACCTCAAACTTTGATCCCCTTGCCTCAACTTCTCAAGTCATTGGTATTACTTGTCTTAATGTACAAAAGTACATTTTACACATATTTCACATGGAAAAAATTTACTTTTTGCTTTGACCCTCACCAGCATGTTTTCCTCTTTTTTATGCTTTGTTTACCACACAGCAGGTGAGACTATCCTGTGTCATGCATGCTTTTGGTGGTGGCTATACTGAAGAGTTGGTACCCCTAACCCAAGCCAGGAGGCCTGGAGAAAGGATCCTCTGAACCCTACCCACAACCTGTTACCTGGCATTTTTTTTATTTTGAATTATGAAGGTAGTAGAAATATGGACAAGAATCTGGAAAATAGCAAAATTGGAATCAGCACATTGGATGACAAATACAACAGAAGAGAAATATCATCAAGGTAAAATTATTAAAAAGTTAGCAAGGAAGTCGTCAATAATAGTAGCACAAGGCAGCATTACAGCAGTTATAGTGTGCCGATGGAAGGCAGTTTTATGAAAGCCTGTCTCTGAAAAGTTTTAGCAGGATGCTTCAGACCACGCTCTCTTGTAAGCCTGAAACATAGTAGAAGGAACTTGGGCGGAAATAGGTTTTCAAAAATGTGATAAAATCAGAGTTTAGAAAGGGCGAAGCGCACGTAAAAATCTCAGTAACTAAATCCACATTAAGGCAGCCGGGATGATGTAATGCAATAAAAGTCTATGTGGAGGCCGGGGAGGAAAACGTGAGAGTAGAGTATTAAAACGCCCAAGAGTCAGTGCTCGTCTTTAAAGAGAAAAGACTGTCGAAAGTAGACCGAGAGCTGGGAATCCGCGATGGGCAAACACCTAGTCTTTTTAAAAGTGGATCACGGAAGTGGAGTGGGTTAAGGAGCAGAACTTCTATTGAAAAGAAAGAGGATCCTATGGGGGGGGGGGGGAAGAGAGGACACAGACTAGTGGAAAGGCGGGATGGCAAGCCGAAGCGTCAGACCCAGAGACTTGCAAGAGACGCACTGAGCGCGGGCGGCGGCCGGGCTCCCTCACCTTGGCCTTGTAGCTGGGCAGGTTGCAGAGGATGTCCGTGCGCAGAGCCTCCTCGGCCAGGCTGCGGGCGCACAAGCTCCGCCACACCTCGCTGTTCTCGTCGCCGTGCAGGCAGCGGTACCAGTGCTTGCACACCAGCGCGCAGCTCCGTAGCTCCGACAGCTCCAGGTAGGAGAACACCAACTCCAGCACCCGGCTGGGCAGTCGGCCCCCGGGTCCCCCAGACGCCCCGGCCCCGGAGCCCGCGCCCGCACCGCCACAGCCCGCGCCACCCGAGGATGTCCCAGTCCCCGGGCCTGGCGCCGCCATCCTGTCACCAGCCGGCCCGAGGGCCGCCGCCGCCGTCGCCGCCGGCCCCCGCGCCCCGTCTCGGCTCGAAAGGAGGCCAAGCTTTGCCTCAAGCCCTAGGAAGCTCGCGCACCGCGCCTTTCAGAGCCAGCCGCCAACGCTCCACCACTCCCGCCCCTGCCCCGGGGCGTCCAAGGCGCGCCCCGCCTCACTGAGGGCAGACGCCCGGCCGCACCGGCGTCCTCAGCCCCTCCCCCGCAGCTCAGCACGGCCGCAGGAACCGCCCGCCTTTCCCGGCCTCGCGGCGGCGAGCCCTAGGCTCCGCCATGCGAGTTGAGGGCACGAAGCAAGGGCGCACGCCCAGCTCGCGGTCGGTTCCTCTCTGCCCCGGATGTGACCGTTAGTGGGCGGGGCCTCACGTCCCAAACTCGTTGGGATTGGGTATCGCTGGTGAGGTCATCATGAGGTGCCGAGGAGGCAATCGGGAAGTGCAGGTTTGAGGCTTTCCCTGGGTGAGTTTGAGCCTTCTAGAGCTTGTTGTTTTTGGTCGGGTGGTCTCGCGGCGGTTTCGCACAGAATTTCTCAGTGTTACTTTGTTTCCTGCTTCAGCCTCCAGTTTACCGCATGGAAGCTCTCTTTCTTTGGTGGTAAAAGACCTTGGCTGGGGCGCAGGTCTTGTGCAGGTCAGGCTCTCTTCTGAGTTTGAGTACTGTTCAGAACGTCTGTCCCGGAATGCGTTTAGACATTCTAGTGGCTACAAATGTATACACTCTACAGCCACCCCCCCCCCCCAAGTTTGGATAACCTCGAAGTTAACCACAATTAAATTTTGGGTAAAATTTAATATTCAGATTCATCGCTTAGTAGGCAGGTTAATTTTTACACCATTAAACATTCCAGCAGAATGACATGGAGGCTGTATTATAGATGGTTTCTTGAAAAGGAAAGACTTTCAGCATTATTTTCATACGACATTTATTGTACAGGGCCCCAAGAGTTTTCTGACATCCTTTAAAGAACAAATGACTGAGTTAATCTTTTCTTGAAAATAATTACATTAGGAAGAAAGCCTGCTAAAAATTTGCCTGACGGTCAACATTTATTTGATCCTTATGTGGCTAGAATAATAATGGCCATGGCGTGAACCAGGCACTGTACTAGGTTGCTTACATAGTGTGTGTGTGTGTGGTGCTTTGGATCGCAGGGCTTTGAACATGCTACGCAAGTGCTGTACCACTGAGCTGTATCGTCAGTTCCCTAAAGCCCCCTGGTTTTAATATAATTCTCCAGTAATTATTATAATGATAGGTTTTACAGACTAGCTTAGTAGTCAACTCCAGTATCTTGCAATCTTTATGTAGTAAGAAATCGTGCCTGAAACTTCCTGCTGTTAATCCATTTCTTATTCTCTTGTAAAATGAAACAGTGCCTACTGTTTCAACCCTTTGACATAATTAGGTACTTGTTTATTACTTACTTGTCCCTTCTTCCTCATTGTCTTTCACCAAGCTCAGGAACCCAGATTATTATTTCTTACCAATACCAGTGCTAGTTTTTCAACCATTTTGATCACTAGTAAGAGTCTCACATCAAGGCCAACTTTAAGAAACCCAAACCTATGAAGAAAGGTTGATTTACATCAAGCAAGGGTGACTATCAGGTCTTTCCTGAGACTTAAACCAAATTTTGTCTGGAAAAATAGTTATAGTTCTTTTAAATCTTCCAGGGAAGAGAAGGAGGTAAGGAACCACACAGAATGAATAGTTTTACAAGTACAGCAGTAGGGACTGGGGAGCTAGCTCAGTAAAATAAGTGCTTGCCTGGCAACCACAAGGGCCTGAGTTCAATCCCTGGTTCCGCAAATAAAATTTAAAAAATGAACAGTAGTGTTTGTCATCTACAGCTCCAGCACTGCAGAGGCTGACAAGAGATCACTTGAAACCAGTGTGGGCAATTTAGCAAAACTTAAAAACAGTGGAGATGTGACTGGAGAAGAGCACTGAAAGTAGAGCTTATTCAGTTACTGAAGATTGGACTTTTATCCTGACTCATTACAAGTTATGCAGAGCCTTGGAAGAATCTAATAATTTTGATGCTCCATCCCCCACGTAGCCCAGGTAGAATCTCACAGTCAGAAAGGATTACCTTTATCACTCCTTTCCTTTTTGTAAGTCTATTAGCTGCTTGCCAGCCCCTCTTCACCTTGTCCCCTTCCCTATGTTCAGTGCCCTCATTGTGTCCTCCTGCTGTTGAGGACAGCTACTGTGGTGCTCCACCCTTTCTAGAAATGCTCTCAGAATATTCTACCTTGCCCTCACCCACTCCATTATCTCATTAGGTGTTGGAAGGAATCTATTATCCACAATAGGATATGATTAATTGTTGTGCTTGCTACAACAATTAATCATGTGACCTCTTAGGCACATGCACAGGCAAAGCAGCTTGTTTACTTGATGCTGGATTCAGGAATGTGGGGATTCTGACACTTAACCTATGTCCGGTAGGCTCTCCTGTCCCCGTCATAGAAAAATAAGAAACAGTAGCTGCCAAGAACGTCTGATATATTGTTGGTTTTTTTTTTTTTTTCAAACATTGCTTTAATGGAATCCAGATTTCATTACATTTTTTTCTTCTACCACAGTAGTTTGCTTGACATATTTTGATGGTGTCTTTGGATATGTTTCAGATAATAACCAATAATTTTAATTTTATAGACTAAGCAAATGATTTTAGAGGCTCTAGTGGAATCCTTGATCAATATTAAGTATGATAAATATTGATTAATTAAAATTAAAAGTCTCAGAATTTATAGATTTTTGAAGGTTTTCTAACTTTTTTAAATTTTATTTGTTTATTTATTTTGTGTGTGTGTGGCCAGCTCAGCCCACCAGGGGGCGGGGCTGGCTGGCATGTGGTGCTGGGGATTGAACTGCAGTCCCTTTGCTTTGCTTAGCTTAGCTTGTTCTAAGTAGGTGCTTTAGACCACTGAGCCATCTCACCAGCCCCTTTCTAACTTTTTTGACATTGCTAAAAATTAGTCTTTGATATTTTTTCCTGACCAGGAAGGTGTTCAGTAAATATTGTCCATATCATTTAAAGATTAGAAGTTTATTTTTACTCTGGTGCATAGAGTTTAAGGTTGTGAAATGTTCTTGGGTCTTGTAGAATTAATACAGGTTACTTCATTTTCCACTATGGAAAATGTATAGGAACGGTATTGTTCATAGTAATTTCTTTAGTTATAAAATCCATTTATTGCCTGACTTCTCATACTTTGGAATAGAACTTAACCAAATTTACCCTTACAATTAAATTAAATATTTTTTTCCAGAAGAGAATTATCTAGGGGACAGATTATTTTGGGAAGAAGCCTGCTAATACTTCAGCCAGTCAATAATTTAAATCTCCTATAGATTTTTGATAGAGAAATAGAAGCTTTGTCTCATTCTTACTGAAACCCTGAACTCCCACTGGGAATCTGAAACCTGTATGCACACACATAAAAACAAACCTTGAAGATATATACAGATTGGGGCTGGTGAGATGGCTCAGTGGTCTAAAGCACCTACTTAGAACAAGCTAAGCTAAGCAAAGCACAGGGACTGCAGTTCAATCCCCCAGCACCACATGCCAGCCAGCCCCGCCCCCTGGTGGGCCGAGCTGCCCCCCCCCACATACATAAATAAAAAATTAAAAAAAAAAAAAGATATATACAGATTTCCTGACTTTAAAATGGATTCTTCTGCCAGGTGTGGTGGTGCATGCCTGTAATCCTAGCACTTGGGAGACTGAGACAGGAAGATTGCAGTGAAGTTAAGGCTAGCCTGTGCTACATAACGATACTCTCCCCCTTTTTTTTTTTAAGGTGGTTTTATATTGAGAATAGAAACTTATAGGCAGCTTGCCAGATTAAGGTGATTTGTTTGAAAACAATATTTGCAAATTTGTGTCTATATCATTAAATTCAAGTATCTTCTCTGAGAATGGTAAACTCAGGGAGTTTTTCCTTTGTAAGGTTTTCCTTGGCATGTCCGACAAGCACACCACAACCCAGTGTTCAGCTAGGCTTCTGTGGACTTGAATTTAGAATTTTTTCATTATTTTTGTTAAGGGTTTTTTAAATCAGATTTTTATTGGTACATTTTAGATACGCATAATGATCACATTCATCATAGAGAATTTATTTTCTTATTTTAATTTTTATTTTATTTTTTTGCAGAACCGGGGATTGAACTCAGGTCCTTGTGCTTGCCAGGGAAGCGCTTATTCTACTGAGCCATCTCCCCAGCCCCATCATAGAGAATTTATTATCTGTACGTGATATAACTTGATTTTTTTTCCCCCTTATTCCCCTACCCTCTCTTCACCCTCCTCCCCATTTACAAAATCTTTTCTTACTGAGGGGTTTTTTGGTACCAGGGATCGAACTCAGGGCCGTAGGCACTTAAGCCAATGAGCTATCTATGCAGCTCTCTTACTGAATTTTTTAAAAAATTTAAGTAAAATACTGTGTTACATTTGTCTCCTGCCAAGTTCTTGTCTAAAACATGATAGTTTTCCTTGACCTTTACAGAGTCCCCTGGGCCATGATGGCAGTCAAGTGGACTGGTGGACATTCTTCTCCCATCCTCTGCCTGAATGCAAGTAAAGATGGACTAGTGGCTTCTGGAGCAGTGGGTGGAGATCTTACAGTGTGGGGTGAGGATGGGACTGCAGTAGGACACATGAGGTTCCCAGACGCTGATGATGTGACCAGTGTTGTATTTTCCCACTCCTACCCCACCAAGCTCTACACTGCACATGGAGAAACCGTTAGCATCCTGGATGTCAGGGCCCTCAAAGGTTCCCTGGACCATTTTCATGTGAATGAAGAAGAAATCAATTGTCTTTCACTGAATGAAACTGAAAACTTCCTGGCTTCTGCTGATGACTCTGGGGCAATCAAAATTCTAGACTTGGAAAATAAGAAAGTTAGCAGATCCCTGAAGAGACATTCCAATATCTGTTCCTCTGTCGCTTTCCGACCTCAGAGGCCTCAGAGCCTGGTGTCATGTGGCCTGGATATGCAGGTGATGCTTTTGCAAAGAGTATTTGGGTAATTTCTGAATGGGATTTGCTATGCATCAAGTTTGTTTGATTTTGTTTGATTTTAAGGGGCCAGGGACATAGCTCAGTAGAATAAGCACTTGCCTGGTAAGCATAAGGGCCTGAGTTCAGTCCCTGGTTCTGCAAATAAAAAACAACCAAAAACCCTTTTAACAACACTGGAAATTGAACCCAGGGCCTTGTGCATGCTATGCATGTCCTCTAGCACTGAGTTACCTCCTTAGCCTCTGGACTCAAGTTATTTGCCAGGTTAACTATATTGCATTATCTATTCTCTGTTAATGTGTCTTATCCAGTTATGAGCCACAGGCTTGACTTCTATTTTGAATGCTAGTCTAACAAAATCCAATAGATTATATTCATAGAATATTCATTATTCTTTTAGTCTTCCTTTGACTGTCCTTTAAGATATTTCTAAAACTTTATAATTCACATATTTGATTCTAAACATCTGTTCAAACAGGAGAGTCCTGTGGGCACAGTTGATCCTACTCACTCTACAACTGTGTTTTTTCTTTTTTAATTTTAAGGTAGTGATTTTTTAAATTTATATTAAAGGTAGGAAAAACAGTTACTTTGCAAAGTGATTGTGGGTTAATTAAAAGTAGGAAAAGTATACTCTTCAGTAAGAGTGGGCTGGGGCCGGGGAGATGGCTCAGTGGAATAAGTGCTTGCCCCCGGCAAGCACAAGGGCCTGAGTTCAATCCATGGTTCCAGAAAAAAAAAAAAAAAAAAAAAAAAGAGTGGGCCACTGAAAGAGAGCTCACAGTGACCCCCAGATTACTAGCCACTGTCTTTTTTTTTTTTTTTTAATTTTTAAAAAATCCTTTTTTTAAATTTATTTGGTACAGGGTCTTGCTATGCAGCTCAGACTCAGTGATCCTCCTGTCTCAGCCTTCCCAATACTGGGATTACAGGCATGTGTCACCACGCCCAGTTTCAGTGGCTGGCTTGGCTTGGGGCTGGCATAGCATGTGGTACTGGGGATCAAACCCAGGACCTCTCATTTGCCAGGCAGGTGCTTAGGCCACTGAGCTATCTCCCCAGCCCCCACTATCTTTTTATATCTCCTACTGTCTCATAATCTGGGCTATCCTCTCAAAAACCTGCTTGATTCCATGCCAGTGAAATTGAACATAGCAGTCTCTGATTAGTACCGGGTGCAGGGCTTGGGCCCATGTGTCCTGGATCTCCATGATTTACAGGTCATACGGACTTGCTCAGACAGCTGGCCACTCCCTAATCTTGTGCCTCATTTCCCCAAGAGACATAAATCTCCACTCCACCATTCTTTATTGGTTGTTGAGGGTGTGGTGATCTTTATTCATAGCTACTTCTAGGCAAAAGGGACTGTAGGTCCTGCTTATGAGGGTTATGTGCTCTCCAACTACTTTGGGATGTTGTGGCCTACTGGTTGGGCTGAGAAAAATCCATGATGTCCAGAATCACAACTGTGTTATTTAAAAGTTGAAAGCCTCATCTTGTTTTTATTTTAAAATTTTGGAGTATATTAGTTAAAATACTGTGTCAAAATTGCCACATTGGATTTAAGGCTGAGTTTGGAAAATGACATCACATATTAGCCCCAAACTAGAGCAGGAGTGCCAGGAAAGTAGATAGATCTAGGGACCTCATTTTATAGGGGAATAAGGGATGCTTAATTCTTAGTTTTCTTGAGGTGTAAAAATGGAATATACTAGTTAAATAGCAGAAGTCACCTATAAGCAGATTTTGGATTAAGACTTTTATATCAGGGCCAGCAAGATAGCTCAGCAGACTAAGTACCTGCTTAGGCAAGCACAGGGACCAGGGATCGATCCCAGACACCATGTGCAACACCAGCCCCTTGCCAGTGCACACTGAACTGGCCACTGAGACCTGGTTTGTGAAAACGGGATCGCTACAAGTTCAACCAAATATATTTTTTTAAAAAATTTCAGATTGCTTGAAGCTTCCTATGTTGGGAAAGAGCACAGTCATGACTTCTCTTTGTTGAATACTTCATGCTTTGTACTACGTGTTATGTCAGCTGTAATTCTGATCAGATCCTTCTACATAGTTAAGAGTCCTTTTTGATAACTGAAGAAATAGTTGGGCGTGGTGGTGCACATTGGTAATCCTAGCGCTCAGGAGGCTGAGGCAGGAGGATTGCAATAAGTTCTGAACTACAGAACAAGACCCTGTATGAAACAAAAAAAAAGGAAGAAACAGATTCAGCTATCTGCATAGAATTCAGACCTGTCACTCTGATTTCAAGATCTTTTTTTCCCCTCTGTGACACCTGAGACATTCAGAATATCATCAATAATATACAAGTTTCTTAGTTTGGGAACAGGTGACTTCTAGAAAAAAGAAAAAGTGTGCCCAGAACCAATGTCCCCAGCTCTGTTCCTGTCAGCCATAATAGGTTTTGCCTTTTAACCATGGCCAGTGGTCTTCACTACTCCCTGCTCCACCAGGTATACCTCTTATCATCTAGGGATCCTTGAGGCTGTTTTGGTTGTCACAACAGTGCCCTCTCAAGTCACCAGCATTTAGTTAGTAGAAAACATTAGGGCCTAGCAGTGGATGTCCCAGAGTGCTGGGACAGTGCCAAATCACAAAATATTGTTCCACCAAAAATGTCTGTGGTAACTCTTACAGACACAGTGATCATACAACCTTTAAATTCCCTTCTTCTAGGCCTTGACCAGACCCTTCACAAACTTTCTGCATTTTTAACTCTGTGGTGGTGGTAAATCTGCATACATTGTGTAAGCAACACCTATATAGCCAGGTGAATATTGGGTGTATGAAGTGGACTATAGTGTCTATTGTTGTTGTTGTTATTATTATTATTATTATTATTATTATTATTATTATTGGTAGTACTGGGGATAGAACCCAGGACCTTCACACTTGAACCACATTCCCATTCCCAGGCCCCCTTGCCCTTTTTGGCATATGGTCTCACTCTATTTCAGGCTGGCCTTGAACTCTCTATGTAACCTGTACTAGCCTCAAACTCACAGCAGTCATTCTGCTTCAGCTTCCCAAGTGTGTTAGAATTACAGGCATGTACTACCATACCTGGTTTTATTTGTTTAATTTTTTAAATATAATTTTCTTTTTTTTTTTTTGAGACAGGGTCTCACTGTGTAATTCAGGCTTTCAGGCTGGCCTTGAACTCCTGGCAATCCTCCTGCTTCATCTTCCTGAGTTCTGGGATTTCAAGCCTGGGTCAATCATTTGAATACTGCTGCACTCTTCTGATGCAACACAGACCCCAAGGGGGGGGGGGGGTCTTTGAGGCCTTCCCTCGAGACTGCTGCTCTTCCTCCCTCCCAATACCAGGGATCCCAGGCCCTGCCCCCTACCAATTAGCCTCTCATAGATTTTTTTTTTTTTTGGCAGTACCAGGCTACCAGGGATTGAACTCAGGACCTTGTGCTTGCCAGGCAAGCACTTATTCTATTGAGCTATCTCCCCCGGCCCTAGCCTGCAACCTCAGTCCACATCTTACTTACTTTCCAAGCCCCACCCCAAGGCCTTCAAAGCCTCCACCCCTTGCCTAGCATCCCAGGACTGCTCTTTTGCCAAATGCCTGTCCCCAACACACCACAGGCTCCACCCTCTCAGAAAGGGCCCAGGGAGCCTGGCTGACCAGAATAACCATTCCTCACCATCATCAAATGTTTTTATATTTTTAATAATGTATTTATTTGGTACAGCTTGGACTCATAGTGATCATCCTGTCTCAGCCTTCACAGCACTAAGATTACACCTGGTTTCAGTGGCTGGCCCTGCTCGGGACTGGCACAACATGTGGTACTGGGGATCAAACCTGGGTCCTTGTGCTTGCCAGGCCTCAGAGCTATCTTCCCGTCCCTGGGCTCTTTAAAATGGAGTTTCTGTGTGGACAGAAATTTTTTCCTATGGGAATAATTTTGTTTTTGTTGAGACAGGGTCTCACTATGTAGTTGGCTACCTTTGAACTCACTATGTAGTCCAGTCTGGCCTCAAACTTATGGCGATCCTCTTGCCTCAGCTTCCTGAGAGCTTGGATTACAGGCATGCACCAACATGTCTGCCTTGTAAGAATAATTTTTTATTTTATTTATTTTATTTTTTTTTTTTAACATTTATTTAGTGTGTGTGTGTGTGGCCAGCTCAGCCCACCAGGGGGCGCGGCTGGCTGGCATGTGGTGCTGGGGGATTGAACCGCGGTCCCTGTGCTTTAGACAAGCTTGTTCCAAGTAGGTGCTTTAGACCACTGAGCCATCTCTCCAGCCCCAAGAATAATTTTTTAAAAGAGTCCCTTTGATGTGTTGTAGTCATCTCTGAACATCTGCTGGCTGGCTGTCTTCTTTCCCTCCCCTGCTCAGGATGTTAACTGCTTGAGAAATCAAGTATGAAACACCATGGAGTCTTCGATGATTCCACCAGCACAAAGAGTAGGCTGGTGGTGGTGCTCAGTGACAGAGCACTCAGTGACTAGCATGTACCAAGCCCAGGGTTTGATCCCCATCAGCCAGAAAAGATGCCCAAAGGGAACGTAGGAGCAATCTAGAATCCTCAGTACTTGGAAATAACTCCAGAATTGGTAAAATCTGGGATGACTTAACACTTTTTTTTTAGGAGTAGGAAAATTTGTTATGCAATAGAAACAGCTCTTGAGAGACAGGCTGTGTCCTGAATGAATTGCCAAGTCCACTTCTCTAAGAAAGATTTATGGAGCAAAATCATGAAGTGGGTACAAAGGGCCGGGGAGATGGCTTAGTGGAATAAGCGCTTCCCTGGCAAGTGCAAGGGCCTGAGTTCAATCCCTGGCTCCACCAAGGAAAAAAAAAAAAAAGGAATGGGTACAAAATGGGTCAGAACTATAATCAGTAAGTGTAGCCGCCTGGCTGAGTAGAAAGGGGGTAGTGATGACATCATTACCCTTGGTCCATGATGGCCAGGTCTTTTATTTATTTATTTATTT